GATATTTAATAAATAAAGGTAACACACAAACTATTAGAAAAAAAAAATAAAATCTGATAACTTTCAGTTTTCTTTCTTCTTCTTCTTTTAGTCCAAAGGGGCAGTTTGCCCTGAAGGATTATTAATTTCGTTTTTTGGCATTTTGTGTCGAAAACTTTAAAAGGCTATATCACTTTTCAAATCGTTGCCACCACATATTATCGCCCTGTCTTATATTTAAAGAAATTAAATAATGAAGAATCTGCATAAATGTATGTATGTTTCTCGCATAGTGATAAAACAACGGTACCTAGAGCCATCGAAATTTGGATAACGTAATCTTCCACAGAATATGGGCATGTGGAAGCCCAAATTTGAATTTGAAATTCGTTTTATAATCGGTTTCAGCTTCTGTAACTCTTCAACGAATTTTTGATTAAAAAAGTAAACGATTTCAAAGCGAGCAATGGCAACACTGCACCAAAAAAGAAATAATTTTATCTCCAGCACGCGAGACTCTGTATCGGAAATTCTAAAGATATGCTCATTTTAAAATTAATTTGCGATATTGCTATTCAACCGAATTTTAGAGTTTGAGTACGTAGAACATGATATTTAATAAATAAAGGAAACACACAAAACATTAAAAAGACGCTCTTTTAGACGTATTTTAAAATCTGAAAACTTTCAAATTTTTCTTAATTATTTAAATTACTAAAATTCCTTATGTGTACTTGTAAATAAAATTCGTGACTCCCTACATTCAGCTACAACCTCATCCTACAACTCCGCTGGCGTCATGTGTGACGTGCTGCAACTTCATCAAGTTTATGTTTTTACATTTTTATTTAAATTTCTAGCAAAGATTATGGGCTTTGTGTATTTTTTAGCCAAGCTAGAGACTCCGTTTAATCGAATTGTATATAGTTTTTCATTACTTAAAATTATTTTACCTATTTAAACGAAATTGTTCATTTCTACATGTTGGTCACCAGTCAGGAACTCTCGCCATGTCACATATACTCACATCAGTGTTACAGGGCCAGATTTAGACTTGATAAGTCCCTAAGCTATTTGAGATACAGGGCTCTTTTTAAGTCCAGATATTTTATGTCAGTGCCAAATATAATTTTCGGATGCCTAGAGGGTTTTTTGGGGCCTCCAAGAAAATGGGGGCTCTAAGCTATAATTTGTGTAGCTTAGACGTAAATCCTGCATTGTACTATTATTCGCTGCTACATTCATCTCAGCAGTCTACTCGTAACCTTCGTAATGTTAACATCAGAATTTAATTGCTCCTCAAGACTTTTTATGCCATATAATTGTTGTTAGTTTTACCAACCTTAATTTCATGATTGTTCATTCATTTTACTTTCTCCTTCGGGTGACGATATGCAGTTGTACATCTTTTATTTTTAATTACCAAGCAAATGGCAGCGGTGTTCTCAACCTTTTGACTAACGCGTACAATTTAAACAAAAATTGAAAACCTTTAGTACCACCAATACATTTTACAATGAATAGTTTTGTTTCTGAATAGAAACATTAAAAAAGAAAAAGAAGTAAAAACTAGAAAAAAAATCTGAAAGGTTTCAGATTTTATATTACGTCCAAAGGGGAGTTTTTTTTTTAACATTTTGTGCGTTACATTTATTTATTAAATATCACGTTCTTCGCACTTAAACCATAAAAATTCAGTTCAAATCGCAAAATAGTTTTAAAATGAGCATAATGTTACGGATTTCGTATTTAAATAGCTAATATTAGTTGAATTATAAATAAAATTGTTTTATTCCCCGTGCAGCGCAGCGCGTGACGAATATTAAAAGAAAGCTAAGCCGTAAAGTTAAAAATACTACAAGAGCACGTGCATTTTAACATTTAATAAATAAATATCTCTTTTTGCTTTCGAGAAAATTCCAGAAATTTCTCGCACACGATTTAAAATCTTATAAAAGGAGGAAAACCTCTCAATTCGTAGTGAGTTACTTAGTTTGTTGTTGTTTTAAGAGTTTGTTTAGAGAACTTCTCTTGTTGACTGTAGTGAATTCACGGATTATCTTTCTCTAGCTGTTTTGAATTAAGTTCTCTTGAACGTTTGAGTAGTTAAAAGATAACTACTGTGAGATATTGTAATACTGCATGAATATTTGAGGAAATTTAAGCATATTTGTAGTGATAATAATAAATTTTTGTTAATTTTTAATCGGAGTTGTGCATTCATTTCGTAACGAACCCGTACGCACGCAACAATATCTTTAGAATTGCCGATACAGATACTCGCGCGCTGGAGATAAAAATGTTTTTTTCTGTACAACGTTGCCATTGCTCGCTTTGAAAGCCTTAAGTTTGATAATCAAAAATTCAAATTTAAAATTTTACTAAATATGAAATCGGTCATAAAACAAATTCCAAATTTCAAATTTGGTCTTCCACATGCCCATATTCGTAAGAGGATCACGTCATTCAAAATTCGATGGCTCTATGTACCGTTGTTTTATTACAATGCGAGAAATATACATACATTTGTGCAAATTTTTCATTATTTAATTTCTTCAAATATAATGCAGGACTCTAACATTTGCTGGGAACAGTTTGAAAAGTGATTCGCTATTTATAGTGATTCAACACAAAATTGCAAAACGAAAAATTCAGTCCTTCAGGGACAAAGCCCCTTTGGACTATAAATCTGAAAAGCTTTCAGATTTTATATTACGCCGAAAAGGGCATTTTTTTAACGTTTTGTGTGTTACCTTTATTTATTAAAATCTTATTTTTCGCACTTAAGCCATAAAATTTAATTCAACAACAGATAGCACACACAAAAAAAGAGAAAACACTTTAAGAATTTCAGATGCACAGTCTCACGAGCTGGAGGATAAAAATGATTTTTTTTGATTCCCGTACAGTGCTGCAATTGCTCGCTTTGAAATCTTTGAGTTTATTAATCAAAACTTCGTTAGAGGTTGGAAGAAACTGATATAGATAATAAAAAAAAAATCCATATTAGGCTTCCGAATGGCCATGTTCGGTTGGAAGACCACGTTATTCAAAATTGGATGGCTCTAGGTACCGTTGTTTTTTCCCAATGCGAGAAACATTCATGCAATCATGTAGATTCTTCATTATTTAGTACATTTAAATATGATACATAGCGATAATATTTGGTAGCAACAACTTGAAAAGCGAATGGACGCAAAATGCCGTTTTGAAATTAATAACATTTCTGGGCTAACGCCCTTCGGGCTAAAAAATAGTTTGCCATTTGCAAAACCTATTGGCTATTTGAATTTAATATGAACACATAAAAATATTAAATTAAAAATTGGTTACCATTTCAGTTATTAAAATTTAAGTTACAATAATTATAAATTTAATGCGAAATTTGGGCCTGTGTAAGAGAAATCAATTTCTTTACGTCTGGTCTTATTTTAATTAGTTTGAAGCCCAAATTAGAACCCACATTTTATTTTTTTCTGTTTTTATTTCTTAAGTATAACATGAAAGGAAATTCTTGTTCATATATATAAGGCCCGTTCACATGCAACGCTCCTTTGCACAGCTGCCGTTAGCAAGAGGAGAGAAAGGATACATGAAAGAGTTTCGTCTTTAGGACCCGTTCAGAAGACCACCGTCTTCCTTCCCTTTACACCTAAGCCTCTGTGAACAATCACGTCTCCGAATTGGCAGATTTCTAATACTGTTTACACATTTTTAACGTTGTTTACTGTTGTTCATTTTGTAATCTGTACTTTCGCAGCTGGTACCTGAACTTTCGTAATGGTTCTGAAAAAAATTATATTTTATAATTATTATTATTATAATTGCTGTTAAGCGCTTCAGATGTTCCTAATTTCGATAACTTGATGACATTCTTAGAAAAAAGAGTCAAATTTGGAAAATATATATATATATATATATATAAAATCAAAACAAAGAAATGAAAAAAAACCAAAAAAACCTTCTTGTTCATTCAAATAATTAGGAGAAACTGCGTTATATGTAATTCGCCACATTCCCTTTTTAAATGTAGTAAATTCCTTGATATGAATTTTGGTGAAAGATTTACGCTAGTAAAACGAAATAACTTATGTCTGAACTGTTTGGGAAAAAAGCACATCGCTTCGCAATGTCGATCGAATCATTTTTGCCATTCAAAACATCATACATTGCTTCATAAGGATGAGTCATCGAATTCGGATTCTGTTTCAAATAAACATCCGCAGACGATAGAGCAGAAGACAGCTGGCGGAAAGGATATTTCTCCGGCGCCTAATGAGAAGGCGACGAGTCTTTCAAATTGTTTATTAGCTACTAATAAAAGTGTTAACTTGCCATCAAACTTCGAAGGGAACATTCATCAAAAGAAAGGCTCTTCTTGACAGCTGCTCACAGATTAACTGCGTGTCTGATCATTTTGCAAAAGAATTGGGGATTAAAATAACAAGGGCTTTCGCTCCGATTTCAGGATTAAATGGAACTGATATCACTTTAAATTATAAATTGAGGACTTCAATTGCCAATAGGGAAAAACATTCTTTAGAGAACTTGATTTTTTTATTGTTCCCAAAATTACAGAAATGACTCCCCTTACCTCCATAGCTATTGAAAATATTGACATCCCCAGGGATATTTCCTTAGCTGATTACAGATTTAACACACCTGAGGAAATTGATTTATTACTGGGTGCAGAATGTTTCTTTGACTTATTAAAAAAAAAAAAAAAAAAAAAAAAAAACTTATTAAAATCGGGTCAAGTTCGCAGCGCGACAAAAGACTTATTGTTCCAGGAAACGGTTTTTGGATTCGTAGTTAGGGGTATTGTGCATAATTCACCACTTGAATCACAATACTGTGGTCTTCTTACGCAAAATGAAAAAATTGAAGAAACATTGCAAAAATTTTGGGAGGTAGAAAATATTAATTTTCCGGATTCAGCACTTAGTCCTGAAGAGAAATATTGCGAAAAACATTTTAATGAAATTCATTATCGAACCTCGGAAGGTCAATACATCGTATGCATGCCCATGAAGGACTATGAATTGTTGAGTGAGTCTAGATATTTAGGAGAGAAAAGACTTAATCAGGTCTGGGAACGATTGGGTCGGGACTCGAATTTACAACGATTGTACTCTGAATTCATGCAAGAATACAAGGATTTAAAACATATGAAACTAGCTGAGAGATCTGAATTCATAAATCATTCGTACTACCTGCCTCACAATGGGGTTTACAGACCAGATGAAAGTAGAACACGTTTAAGAGTTGTTTTTAACGCCTCAACTGCCACGACATCGGGATTGACATTAAACGATATTTTGTTGAAGGGAAGAATTCCACAGCAGAAATTATTTTCTATTATGGTTAGATTTAGAAAACATCGCTACGCCTTCACAGCACATGTACAAAAAATGTATCGACACATTCTAGTCCATCCTCCACAAAGAGACTTGCTCAGAATTCTATGGAAGGACAGTGTTGATGCACCAGTGCAAACTTATAAGCTCAACACAGTAACGTATGGGACGTCAAATGCTCCCTATTTAGCAACTCGAGCTCTTAAACAGTTAGCTATAGATGAAAGCCAAAACTTACCTCTAGCATCGTCCTTCGCTCTTAATGACTTCTATGTCGACGACATACTTTTCGGAGAATCATCATTTCGAAAAGGCTAGAATTATAACAATCCCAATTAATAGATTTGTTAAAATTAAGAAAAATGGAATTGCATAAATGACGTGCAAATCATCCAGATCTGCTTGTGTCTGAAAATAAGGTTACCGCTCATTCAAAATACACTTTTGAAGAGCAACAAGAATCGTCGCCTCTTAAAACTCTTGGTGTCCTATGGAATCCTCAGATTTTTGTTTACAATGACCATTTCTCACTCTAACAGTTATAGTAAACGAGATGTTCTGTCACTAATTTCGAAAATGTTCGATCCACTTGGTTTAATTGGTCCAGTGGTCACAAAGGCCAAAATATTCATGCAAAGGCTCTGGCTTGCTAAACTCGATTGGAATGACACATTGCCAGATTCTATGACCAAGGAGTGGATTAATTTCGTATCCACGCTCTCTGAACTAAGTAATCTTAAGATTCCTAGATTTGTATTCCAGCAAAATCACATAGTGCTCCGTGGATTTGCAGATGCGTCATCTTTGGCATACGGAGCTGCAATCTATGTTCAAGCTTTACCAGTTTCAGGATTGCCAACCGCTCGACTTTTGTGTAGCAAGTCACAAGTTGCACCTATAAAAACCTTATCAACTCCTAGATTGGAACTGTCAGGTTGCCTTCTATTATCCAGATTGATGGATAAGTGATATCTTCGTTGAATGTTAAAGTAGAAAAAGTAATTCCTTGGCTCATTCTACGATTTCTCTTGCTTGGATTAGAAAATCACCACACTTACTAAAAACTTTCGTGAGTAACAGAGTCGCTTTAATACAAGAGCTTACGGGGTCATACCAATGGAAATATGTGCCATCTGATTGTAACCCAGCTGATGTCATATCGCGTGGACTGTATGTCAGTGACATTCTTACGTGTGATATCTGGTGGAATGGACCAGATCTTCTCCGTGAGGACATGCATTATCCAGAACAACCTATTGAACCTACCACTGATAATGACTATGTCAAGGAACTGAAATGTTTATCAGACTCTAATTTTGCAATATTAGAACATAATTTTAGTTTAACCTCTCTCTTAAATCGAACAAATAATTATATGATATTAATCAAAATTTGTAGTTTTATTTTTAGGTTCTTCAGAATCATTAAGAATAAGGAAAGGTTTTCAGGGCCTATATCCTTAGAGGAACGGAAAGTGGTTGAGTTAACATTGTTTCGGTAATGTGCAGAAAGGTGAGTTTTATTCTGATATTGAGTCACTTAAGAGAGATAGCCAAGTACCTCGTAGGAGCAAGCTTAAGTCGGTAAATCGATTCATCGATAATGATGGAATCTTGCGCATCGGTAGCAGACTTGCGCTATCTCAGGTAAGTTATGATTGTAAATATCCAATCATTTTGCCAGCTAGACATAGGTTCACTTATTTGATCATGTACTATTATCATCTGAAACATTTGCATCTTAGACCAGAAGCTCTATTGAGTACTGTTAGACAAATGTTTTGGCCTATCAGCGGCAGGAATAAGCGGCAATAAAGTGAAATATCTTGGCATAACTATCAATAATCGACTTACCTGGACTGCACATATTGAGAATGTTCGTAACCATGCACTAAGAGTCATGAAATGTCTCTTCCCAATTATAGGAAAATTTTCAAAATTGGATCTGTATAAGAAAAGACTAATTTATCTTAGTACCATCAGACCAATTATGACAATTATCTTAGTACCATCAGCCAGCCTGGGCTACCGCCACTGAAAAAGATATAAAGAAACTCCAGAAAGTGCAGAACAATTTCCTTAGGATTAGCACAAATGCCAACTATTATGTCAGAAACGAAGTACTGCATAGAGACATGAAAATTGAACCACTAAATCAATTTATTCGCAAGATTAATGTAAGTTTCTTCAATGGTGCGGTAAATTGTAAACATCTTATGAACTTTAACTTATTTCACTACGAGATACTTGCTGAAGATAGGTTTCTCAGGCTTTATGCTGCTTATCTGATTAAGGAAAATCAAGACTTTGCCACTTAATTAGTGTCTATTAAATAATGATCACGATAGTATCTACTTTCAGTGACACCAGACTCAAGCAGCAACTGTCTGAGCCTCATATCGAGGTATTCCTCAGAAGACTCGCAAGCTTGCAGCCCACGTGACAACTGGTCACGCCCCTTCGCCATTAGCTCCTGCCCTTCTGGACTCACACTTCGAACTTATTCTCATTTCAGCGCCAAAGAGCAAACATCTGATGACAGCCGGAACACATCAAGCAGAATGCTTGATAATCTCGGCATAAGTGTAATTTGGAACTTGGTCCATCTCATGGTGTAATCAGAAAAACTGCTGGTTTGAAAGCATGCTTGTATTCTTTAGGGAAATTCTTTTTAATTCTTTGTTAATTTCAGATGAAAGAACTAGAGAACACAAGAGAAATTTGCCCTCTGGTTAATACAAATAGATTGTTTCCGAAATAAATTTTCATAGTTGGTGAAAGGAGGGAAAATATTTCTAAGGCCAGTTTTAAATACAAACTAAAATTTATTCAAAAGTTGAAGAGGGGCCCCTAGGAAGCCAAGGGGGTTGAAAATCGGGATAAGAGCTTTGAGGTGTATCAAATAATAAAATTGTTTTAGTGGCTTTTCTTCTTGAACAAAAAGATATATTACAATCTATATTTATAAAAAATAAGAAAGGGACTCTTACGGTTCTCGATAATCTAACGTGTGTGTGCGTGGAGGGGGGGAGGCGATTCTTCGTATCATAGTATGAAGCATATTTTTTTTTTCACATATTATCTAAAGCATAAAATACAACTTCAAAAATGCAACATACTTTCTCAGCTGAGTCGTAGTGTTTCATTTTTCAATTTTTTTAATTTTCGGCTGAGTTATATATGCTTGTAATATTATACTAGTTCAGTTACAGCATGATACGATTTACGCATGCAGTGCTATATTTGTTAATTTTTTTTATAAAATAATAATATTGAATTTAAATCAAGTGAAAAGCTTTTTACCCATATTTTACATAAGTATTTTCAACTGGGTTGCATTCTCAAAGTGCATAACAACATAAATTTTATTTTTTAAATTTTAAATTTCTACCGAAATTTAAAAAACTTGTGTCCTTACACTTACATAATTATATTCAAGCCCTCATCACTACAGGCGCATATCAAAAGTACGCAAAATTAATTTGAAAAACAAAAATTAACAGTTGGCAGCTACCTGGAAAAAATGTCTTAGAGGGGCGCCGGTATAAAATATATACCGGCTCTCAAAATTCAGGATTTCACTCTAGAGTTAAGTCACAATTTTGTGTCCTTAGGGTCCATAAGTTATAGTTCATGCAAAATTTTACCACAATTTAAATTATTTTATATACCGCTTCTCATTTCAGCGGAATGATCTCAGTTCATGCCAACCACTGAGAGACAGGTAGGGATTTTTCGAACTGTTACTTCGAGCATCTAACTTCGGTGAAAGATCTTCAGGAAATGATTTTTGCTTTACTTTGGAGTATCCTATCAACCAGACTTTATGGTGAGTACATTTATCACTATGCAATCTGCCATTATCGCTTGGTTAGGTTAGCACAATGGAGCACGACTCGGACCTTCTAATAGTCCAAAAATTATATGAGGACCCCAAATTCAAACCAACCCCAGAATTAGTTCTGGGATCTAAACAGCGATATGTAAGCGAATACGTTCCTGTCCTTAATGAAGAAAGTGATATCCTCCTTTCACAGGAATTTCAAAAAAGAATAAAAGTCATGGATACTTATATAGCAGAAATTCAAAATGCAAATGCAAGCTTAAATGCTAAAATTTCAAAGAACTCTGTACAAAATAGTTCACAAAAACAGTAGTTACAGATAGCGAGGATTATACCACCTCTCGTCTTACACACAAAAGCACGCTCTAAAATACTGAGTCAGAAGAGCCTGCCCAAAAGAATAAGTACAACTACTTAAATCTTCAAAGCCGCACGGACAACACAGACGAAGCGGGTTTTACACTTACAAAAAAGATTGCTGGGCATATACCCTCAATTGTTCTTGCGGATTTTAACGCATATTGAAAAGCACTCAAAAATGAAATTGAAAATAACGGAATTAAAACATACCGTGCTAATATGAAAGGCGAAACTCTTACCTGAAGAGTTTGTGAAACTGACCATTACATATTTATTACAAAACGTCTTCAAACGCGTCGTGTACCATTCCATACTTAAAATTAAATTCTGAGAAACCACTGAAAGCAGTTATCAAGAAGTTACCTAAAAATACAAACACAGAGGCAATTAAGCAGAAACTCACTGAAAGGGATATCCCTGTTTTCAAAGTTAAACATATTACTAGTTTCAGAGATGATAATTTACCTCTCTTCCAAGTAAAATGCCGAAGATCCATCGAAGAAAAAAAAAACGTATGACATCAAAACCGTCACAGGGCTAGATGTTTTTGTTATTACTTATAAGTCAAAGCCTCGTCCGGTGCCATGCTATTAGTGCCAATGGTACGGGCACACACGGGATTTATGCCATTATTCAACTAGATGCTTAAAATGTGCAACATGACATGAGACATATCAGCGTTTTCAAAACAAAGAAGATATGAAACCTGCTTCCTCCCCTTTTTGCGGTGGAGATCATGTTTCTTCGTATTGTTTAAATGTACAGACGCGGTAAGATGGCTTCCCCGCAAAGCAATTTAGGGTTGCTATAAAATGACAAGGGAAGGCGGATTTGCCACATTTGGCGAGAAATCGCCCAATTGGCGATATACCATGGACGGATAGATAATCTTCTGGAACGAATTCGTACCCATTTAGCCCAGAATGTTCTCGAACACAAGCCGAAAGCTATATAAACCCTGCTGGTCCGCAGTCAGTAGTGTTGTGCTGGGAGTGCGAGTAGTCTCAATCGACGCCGGGCATCCAGTCGGAGTGGTCGTCGAGTTCACCGAAGAGCTCTTATGTACGTCGAGAGGCATGTTGAGCTCCGGGACGATGAACCGAAGAGTCGGATCT